TTCTGCTACCTTAATACTAAACCTATAAATGTAGGCACATAGATCTATTTCCCCATCCTCATATATAAATAATTTGCAGAAGTACATGTCTTTATCTATACCTCTATAAATGCCCTTTGCCTCCTAGCTCTTTCCTCTATTTCCCTTGACTTTCTTCCTGTCCCACTATCATGCTCAGTCCCTACCAGGGTTTCAGCAATTCCTCTTTGTTACATTACCCTTGATCATGCCCTACCAGGCCTCCCACACCCACCTCACCACCAATTTGGATCACTTGTTGTTCCCTTGTCCCTGGGTTTGTTAACACAACCCCTCCCCCACGTCACCCCAGAACTGTCGGACCCGTTGTTTTTTCCTCCAGATTGTTCATCCAGCCTATCTTATTTAGACAGACCAAGATGCAGAGTTTTTAAGGAAGTATAGCATCTTAGCTATTGGGAGAAATCAGAAGTAGCTGGAGCATAGAGAATGGGAGTAACTAAAGATGTGGCTGGAAGGCATGGAGGACCGAACATGGGTGGCCTTAAAGGCTACAAGTTGATTTTCAGATATCATCTTAAGCCCATGAAAGCCTTTGGATACTTTTAATCAGGCAATAAGATGGGAAGACATATTTTTTCCAAAAAGATACCTCTAATTACATTGTGAAATATAGTTGCCAGGAGGCAAGAGTAGAGACAGGGAATCCCAGAAAATTACTGCAGTACTAGGGACAAGTGATGATGGGAAAAGTTGGGATAAGAGTGTCTTTCTCAACTGAAGGGTAATGTTGCCTCCCAGGGAACTTCTGGCAATGTCTGAAAACATTTCTGATTCTCATGACTTTGGGAAAGAGGGTAGGAAGCACTGACAGAATTATTGATCTCTACTGGGCAGAGACCAGAGAGACTGCTAAACATCCTACAATGCACAAGGCAGCATCCTCAAAGCAAATAATTTTACATTTTGACAAAATCAAAATGCCAACAGTGCCAAGATCAAAAAACCTCAAGTGTCAAGTAGTGGCAACGGAGATGGAGGGCCGGGAAGAACCTTCAGAGCTATCTAAAGGTAAAATCAGGAAAACAATGAGGAAGAAGGAGAATAATGATGCTCTATTTTTTGGCAAGACATGTTAAGAGAGAGAGAATGTACAAAGTACTAGGGGGTAGAAAAGAAGAAAACACACTACCTCTGTCAGAAAAGACAGGCCAGGGCTCGGCACAGCATTCGCTAGTTTCACGCAACTCATTCTTTAAAATGAAAGCAAGTGTAACCATTACTTACAATTTTGTCATAAAAGTCTTTGGGTAATTTGGAAAGGATTTCTACTGCTTCCAAAAGCTCATAAGCATCTATCTGTGGCACTTCATCACCATCATCACCACCTTCCAGGAAAAAAAAAAATCCCTCAAACAGATAGAATGGCTTTAATTACCAAATATTTCACACACTAATGAAATTAGGGTTATAAATGCTATATTCAACTTAAATTTTATACACTGTCAATTGTACAAAAGATGCCTGTTAAACACAGGCTTTTATGTCAGTGTTCATTTTTGCTAAATTTTATAGAAAGCAATATTTGAACTTGACTGACCTCCCTCAGCATCTCCACCAGCAGACTGCTGCTGTTCCAGTTTAGCTTCTAGTTCTTGCTGGGAACGCAGAAATCGAGTGGGTCTAGGAGCACCTGTTGGCAACTTGACCCATTCTTCTTCTAGTTCTTTCAACTAAGAAAGTCATAAACCATTTTTGAAACATGTCTACATCACTGTCATTAGGAAACACACTTGACATTATGATTAGAGTTAATGAACCCAATGTCTTTTTTTGTACCTCAATGTCTTACATATGTGAAAAGTTCAATTGAAACTACATACTTTGTTTTTTTTTCCTTTGTATTTATTTATTTATTTATTTTTGAAACTACATACTTTGTAACAAAATTCAAACCAACTTAAATTTGTTACACTGAAGAAAGGAATATCTAAAGCATTGAGAGAACAAAACCTATCTTTCAGTAAACCTTCCGTAGTTCATGATTCAGATATAGCTGCATTAGATAAGAGCCTCCATAACCAATTATAGTAATACAAAAGACAGATTTCATTTTGGCCAACAGACATGAAGGCCACCTAATGGCATCATAATGAGCTAACAAGCTCGTTTAAACTGCTGCACAAGTAGCCCCAGCATCCCGAAATCACTGAAGGAAGAGTATGTAACTTGACAGCTGAAAGTAACAGCAGACAGTTAGCTATGCTTAGAAAACCACCTGCTTCAAGAGTTAAAAGTTAACAAGAATTATTTAGAAATGCAGAATACAAACACAACCTGGTGCCTCACCTGGACAGAATTTATATTTTGTAATGGGGGTCTCAGAGCATCCCTAATCCACCGGTAAATCTCCACAGCGATCAGTTTGGCTTCATCTCGAACAGCCTTCTCTCGAGACTCAAAGAGTTTTGGCAACACTTTGATAATTGGCTTAAGCAAGATGATTTTTGAACCAAATTCACTAGAAGAGTTGGGGAGAAAAATCATCACATACACAATCTGCTTGGGATACACGTTAGCTTTTATTCAGTCAAACATATTTCCATAATTCTTTTTTTTTTTTATTCCCCCCCCATAATTCTAGAAACAAGGTTTTGTTTTCTTTTCAAAGGGAAGCAAAAAAGAAGAAACTTACAACCATCCCTATATTTGAATGCTATTATTCCAAGAATACTGTTGTCTAGGACCCAAAATAATATTACCTTTGAAAAATCAATCTTCAAGATATGCAGGCTAGGAATAATTCAAATCTATAAAAGTTGACTTGCATAAGATCTTAAATCTTACTTAAAATAACAAACTTAAAAACACATGCAAATCATTTCATAAGTACTGAGGAGATAAGTGAAATCAACCTATAAGGAAGTTCTTTAACTGTTCTTTAACTAGGAAGATTCACTAACTAGAGAGAAGCAGGTGGGTGTTTTCATGCCAGAGTTGGCCACTACCACACTGAACCCCCAGATGACTTAGCCCTCTTTGCTTCAGTCTCCATGGGGAAAAAGCGCGGCGGTCGACTTCTTTTACAGAGAGAGCACACAGTTAGCCTTACGTATCTACTGCATATTAGACTTTCGAGTCTCCGGTGGTTCAATTTCAGCTCTCTGAGGGCATTGCTATCATTTATGAGCAACTAATTCTAGATGAGGAGAAATTTGGTTAGTAAAGAACACTAACATCTATATGAACAGTAGGCCCCAGTCTATTTTTATCTCATGTACACATGCAGTACAATTTTTCTCTAATAGCTGTTGATATATGCTAACATTAAATAAGACTAAAAATTATTTTCTTTAGAAAATGATTTTTTAACAAGACATCTGGTTATGGTTTAAGTACAGGTACTATAATGAAAATAAACTATATGATCTCTTAAGAAATAAGAAATCATGTGGGTAATAACCTATTTTGCTTTAGGGGTACTTAACATGGTCTTAAGAACCTATTTTGGACCATTTAATGGGCCAGAACGCTTCGCAGACCCAAGGATGGCAAAACTTTGTCTCATGTACTTTGTACATATTGTCAGGAGAGACCAGTCTCTGGAGGAGGACATCATGCTTGGAAAAGTAAGAGAAGCCACAAAAGAGAGGAAGAACCGTCGGCAAGATGATCGACATGGTGGCAACAACAGTGGGTTCAAACATAAGAACAAGTATGAGGACGGCCCGGGGTCAGGTGGCGTTTCGTTCTGCTGTATGTGGAGTCACTATCATTGGAACTGACTTGATGGTACCTAACAACCAGTATCCCCATTTAGAAGTAGAAGGAACCCTGGTGGTGTAGCCGTTAAAACGCCTGGCTGCTATGCAAACAGTTCACACCACTAGCCAATCCTCAGGAGAAAGTAAAGATTTAGGGCCTTGGACAGCTCTGTGGTAGTTTTACTGTGTCCTCTAAATCACCATGAGTTAGGATGGACTTAACAGGTGTAAATTGGGTCTTATTGTCCTTTATATAACTATAGTCTCACGGAATTCTTTGGGTTTTTTGTTTAAACATTTTATTAGGGGCTCATACAACTCTTATCACAATCCATACACACATCAATTGTGTAAAGCGCATTTGTACTTCATTCTCAAAACATTTTCTCTCCACTTAAACCCCCGACATTAGGTGCTCATTTTAATTCTTTGTTTCTTTATCCTGATCTAGTTTTAAAAGATTAGGGGAAGAGGTGGGGAGAAAATCATATGGAACAGGTCCAAATGTAAAATAACAAAACAAACTTAACAAAATTAAATCTAATTTTGATATTAAACATTGTTGTTAGGTGGTGGTGTGATGGTTACAATTCACAGCAATGCTATGTACAACAGAAAGAAATACTACCTGGTTCTTCACCCTTATTCTCACAATCATTGCTATGTTTGGGCCCATGGTTGGCAGACCGCTGTGTCAACTCCATCTCATTGTGGGCCTTCCTTTCCTTTCTTTAATCATTTTATTAGGGGCGCAAACAACTCTTATCACAATCCATACATACATCAATTGTGTAAAGCACATTTGTACATTCACTGCTCTCATCATTCTCAAAACATTTGCTCTCCACCTAAGCCCCTGGCATCAG